TAAATGAGGCAGCAAGCTGTAACGAGAAATCACTGGGTAAGCCTAGATACAGTAATCCTTGGGTATTACGAAAAGCAGTTAACTTACGTTAAAGCTTGCTTTCTCTAAGTTAGCCAGCCCGTGTTAAAAAGACTTTTCTCCAGAGTAGGCCAGGCCTTGAGAAAGAAGTAGCTTCGCTTGCTGGCAGGGCGATGGGGAAAGAGGAATGTGATGTAAAATAGGAGCTGGAACACGGGAGGACAGAAGGCCTGAAAGCCTAGACCTTAGGTTTGAAGAAGACACTGTTACCTCTTGACATTTGAAGCTGCTGATTTGATAGACAGGTGTTCAAGGAAAAAAAAAAAGAAGAGATTTTTGGACACCTATCAAGAAAGGAAAAAAAAAGAAAAAAAAAAAATTCAGGGGTTCCCAAACAGTGTTTACATATTGCAGAATATATGGACTCCCAGATAACTTGACCTCTGGCTAAATTAATGTTGGAGTTTTGCAGAAAGCCAGCAGTTATATGATTTAATAAGCTCTCCATGGGAGAGGCAGATTAAGACGGTCTAGCACTGCACTCTCAAAAACATCGTATTTGCCATTAGTACACAAGCATGGTATGGAAACTGGAAAGCAATAGATGTGTTGATTACCATGATAATCTTCTTGTCAGAAGATTACAGTCTTCTGAGGAAAACGAAGGGTTGCAGGCCATTGATACTGCCTGCTAGGATTAATTTTGAGATTTTTGAACATTGTGGTGGTAGCTGTGTAATGACACACTTGCATGCTCCACATTAAATGAAGAAAAAACCAAGACAACATTCCTCCACACCCCTACACTTTAAAGCAAAGTGAATTTCCCCCTTCCTTTTAAGGGAATGCATTTTAGGCTGAAAAAGAAATTACAGAGGGAAATTAAAGCTTCCCAGGGTCCAGCGGTTATATTGACCAATTTTCTTTGATAATTCTAAAACTCTACAACTTTGTTCACAAGCAAATATGAGTTCCTGCAAGATTTGCTGTTGAGGTAGTGGGTGATGTCCTGGCTCCAGCAGCCTTGCCCTGCCTCCACCAGAGCCAGGCTGTCACCCAGGGTCACTTCAGCCTTCCTGGAGGCAGAGGGGGGCAAGTCAGAGAGGGAGAGGCACACCCAGGGGTCCTGGGAGCTACCCTGCATGCTCATCAGGGCACAAAACTCTCTGCACCAAAAGCAGAAAGTGGGAAAACATAGCAATCTAAAGTCAGCTTTATGTTCAATATGGTCATCTGTTAGAACGATGAATGTGGAGATGGTGCTGAGACGACCCTTAGGGTGCCCCAACAGAGTGACAAGAGAAGCATCTTGGTGCTATCAGTTTATATAATACTTTACATACATCTGATTTAATGCCTCAAATAAGAAAGTGGCTGTAGCTCTCAGAAGACATTTGCAATGTTCATTTATGTTGCTTTTTTTGTTTGAGCAGCACTTAAAGCCAGTTTTAATGCACTGCTTACATTCTCAGGTAACCCTAGGGCCATCAACGTTTACAGATCAAATATGGAAAAATGAGCCACCTTTCCTGTCAACTGATACATAGTAATTTAAAAAGTATTTATCCTTTGTGTGAGCCATAAAAAGGAAAGGTTGAAGTTGAAAGAAGTCAAGCACAGCCAAACCTCACTGAAGAAACAGGAGACTGTTGTTCAGTGCGACACTGACCCCGATGAGAGAATTTGAACAGCCCAGCTGTGCAGCACTTGGTCTGTGCAGGGTGGGGAATAGCTGGTTATATTGCTTTTGTACAACAGCTGTGAGACACTTGGTGGGCTGAGATTGACTCATTAAGGGTATGAGGATGACACTTTAAAAAAAGAAAGTAATCAAAAGAAAGGTTAGTGAGTTCTTAGGCTTTAATCCTTTTTCAGATGTGCTACTTGACTTAACTTCATGGGTGACATTTTCATGTCAGTGCTGTAAAACAATTCTGTAAAATCCATGAGTTTGGGACTGAGAAAGGAGTATTTTCAGGACCTACAGCTTAGCACTGCTGCAGTGACTGAGAGACTTGTTGTGTATTAAATCATTGAATAACAAGTTCATGTATCAGCAAATGAAACCAAGCTTAAATATTTCCCTTTTGACTGAGTAAAACAATTTTTTTTTTCGTTATCACCCTGACTATAGGACTCATGAAGTCTAAAACAAATGACAATGGCTGACATTATATGATTGATTTACTGTAAAATGTGTTTTCAAAGATATTGTTGGAAGCTGTGATATCCGCACAATATATTCATGCTGGATCACAGCTTGTAGATTCATGAGTACTTCCTAAGTAAACATTTCCAAATCTCACCTAATGCAGCTATTGTTTTAACTTCCTTCAACAGGATTTCAAATACACGTTACAAATAAATTATTCTGTCTTAGAAAGAGAATGGAATGGGTATTACTGTTTTTCAACTGGTAGCGTACTTTCCAATACATTCAGAAGGATAAGAACAAAACCTAATTGAAAACTTTCCTTTTTTGCACAGTGGGAGAGGAAAGAGGACAGTTATCTCATCCAGACACAGAACTGACAGTCTCATTAACGTTAACCTGTCTGGATTCGCTGTTACATTGCTTTACTGCACATATGTCACATGCTACAAGGCAGAACAGAATATCAAGGGAATGTACACCCTGCCAGCTACAAAGGACAAAAGGCACAAACAAGCAGAAGAGATAAGGTCATGACAAGTGTAGCGAAGAGTATTGTTTTTTGTTTTGCAAAAATTTCCTTCTTTTCCATCATGAACAGATTTTGTCAAGAAATGTAAGAGTCAGATTTTAAATAAATGTGTTTGCAAAAAAAGAGGAGTTGTGCAGAGGCTGTTTATGAGATGTCTGCTTTCACACCACATGCTTTTACTAGCTAGATATCAAAATACTGGAGCCAAAAATTGCCTGAGTACCTCATTGTTTATTCTTTCTCAGACTAGCATAAGCAAGCAGATGAAAAGTCTTTCCAAGTGGAAGCAGAGAAGATACTAAATGACAGTCAGTCTTGGCACAGACTTTCGGTTTGTATAATCAGCAAGGTTTCTAGAGCTGCTTGATTCTTACAAAGCAGTAACACACAGTCTGTTTTCCTCTTTCAGCTTCTAATTATGACAGCCATTGACCTTCAAGTTTGTTCAAGTTCCTTGCAAATGCCAACAAATTAATTAAAACTTCACAGGAATGTGACAGTCTCAGGAAAAAATAGAGTAGTAGGGCTGAAACTTCTCTTGCTATTTTAGAGAAAGTATGTTTTAGAGGAAACAGAAAGCCTTCGGTCTTCACTTCTTTCCTAAGAACTCATTAAGTGCTTTTAAGGTACAGATTTGATACCACTACTATGATCTTTGATTTACTTTTAAAGTCTTGCTTTTATGCAAAGAGTGTAGTAATATTGCTGTGACAACAATTAATACCTGAATCACAATCTCTTCCACTTAGACCCTCTGATTGAGTTAAGGATTGTTCAGCTTGGCAGAGAAATTACGTATCCCATGATCACAGTCCTCCAAGGATGCACATGTCTTCATGTGAAAGATGATGAAGGAAGATCATAGCAGCAGTCACAGCACCCCGATCCAGCCTGACTTCTACTGATAAACTCATTACCTCTTGGTATACATTAATCCCATAAAGTGTGGGCAGCAGTATCAAAGATACAAGAACATTAACAACAAAGGAATTAATTATTGCCAAGAAGTAGCAAACAGTAAGACACATATAAATTGAAGTTCCTTTGAACATCTGTAACTGGTAGCTTACAAAGAAGAATTAAGGACTGCTACTACCACAGAAAGTTATTTTTAAAGTTTCACAGTGAGGTAATTTGCTTTTTTAAAAAAGAAATTCTGGAGAATAGCAGAGGCACCTATGTTTAGAAATCCCCTGCATGGTCCAGCCTTGACCACTGGGGATATGCAGGGGTATGAGGGGTCTTACCAAATGTTTTGGTCAAGGTTTCAACTTCATCCTTTGGCTTCAAATATAAAAGATAATTGTCTGAGAGCCCCAACAACATCTCCAGCAAAATCAGAGAAGGCCAGAACTCACAGTACAGATATTCCTATGGTTTTTAAAAAAGTAGCACAATACACTAAAAGAGCAAAGCCTTCTTTATAAATCTTAATGAATTGAGAGGAAAAAGCCCTCTGCATGCCACCTTTCCATGGAGTGAATCCGCTTTAGTTCCTAGAGGTAGAAGGTCACTGCAATTTTTCAGCGCAGCTACGGAAGTAATTTCCTGTCCTTGCACTCTTCGTGTTTTCATTTCTTCTACACCAAACAAACTGTCAAAGCAAGGTGTGCTATGGGTCTGCTCTTCAGAGAGGTCTGAATGCAGAGTATCTTTAATCACGGGTGGAGAGTTCCAGCAGGCTGTTTGCCTGCCCCCTGCTCTGGAGTGATGCTCGGATATTGGCTTCTCTTTGGTGGTCTCTCCCTCCCCTCACCCCTCAAATGAGAAATTGCATTTGTCTGCTACTGGTACTCAGTCATGACAGCACCTACAGAATGCAGACCACAAGCTAAGCAAAACCAGTCTTTTTAAAAGAAAAGTATCCAGGCTTCGCTTGTCACATTTGCAACGTGTGAGCAAAACAGCAAACCTAACTCCACCTACACACAATTGTCCTTGTAAGAACCGGAGGAGGTATATAAGTGGATATGCAAAAAAAAGGTGTTGACTTCAGACCTCCTTTAAGGTGATTGTCAGCATCTAAAATCATCTTGTGACATGCAATAGTGAGTGCTACATACTTTTTTCCACATTCTTGTCCTCATCGTGCATGCATCTTATGGCCAGTACACACAAAGTTGTAAAGAATTATAAGGGACAGCAATAGTTCTAAGACATGACGGTCTCTCGTTTTAATGGCTAGTCCAGGGATTGTTCCAATCACTGTGAGCTCCCTTGATAACACTGCTTATCATAGGAGCTAAATCTAATCTCATAACTTTAACTTCCTGTAATGTAAAATGTTAGACTCCTCACCTCCCCCCAGGCAGCAGGTGGAGGCTCCACAGGAGGGTAATATTTGGGGACATCCCAGGCCACTGCAGCCATGAACCACTTGAAATCTTTACATTTAAGGTGCTTGCGAAGTTCCTTCTGGGCAGAGATATCACCAGTTGAGAGATGTCTGTACTCAGGCCGTCGCTGGTAAATGTACTCTGCAAACTCATCCATCCATGTCTCTGCCACACGCTTCAGGTTCTGTGCGGCAGAAAAAAGCAATCATTAATTTCTTCATGCTTTGAGTGAATGATATTTCTAATGGGGAGAATTACACACAAAAAAATCAATAGTCCACACAACTTTTAAGCTTAGCTGGTCTAATTTCTCAGTCTTAAAACATGGAAGAATACTGGTAAACGTATGCTGTCTTCATTACAGTGTTGAGCAAACACTGTAGAGTATTAAGCACCCTGCTCTCCTGCTGACTCTGTAAGATACGGTCTTCTGACTGTTGAATATCTTAATTTGCTTCATATTCTTTCTGCATCTTCACATGGGTTTTTGATTAATGATGGATGTTGAACAGAAATTTTCCTTCAGCTGCTCACATTGGTACCTATGTTTTTTTCCCTGTTAGTCCAGAACCTACTAATGTGCACGAATGGTTCAAATTATTCCTTCTGATGTATTTCACTTTGCATTTGAAAAGCATCTGAATTTTCAGCTGTCATCATACTGCTTAGTCACCCAGCAATTCCTACCTAAATTTTAGGGTCAGGTCTTACATGCGCATGTATGGGGGCAAACAGCCATGAGCTTGCTCTGCCCCGTCTCACAGCTGGTTTTGCACTACCTTTGGACTGGAAGCTTCGCTGTGCTGGCGTGCTAGTAAGTCTGTGCAAAAGCATAGCACATAACCGTGAAGTGGAGCTGACCTGAAACAATGCAGATCATGCGATAGGTATGGCAACTTGTGGCTTTCTGCACTCATTGTATAGACATATCTAAGACTATTTCCGTTCCATGAAACCTAGTTCTGGCTTATGTCCCACAAAGTTTATTTTTGTTGGCATTTTACAGGAAACAGAATTACCTATTTTGTTGTGTAAGAATTTATTCAAATTATAATTAACTAAATTAGCTGACCCAAATTATAAAATAAAAAAAAAGACTTGTAAGGAAAAATCCTGAATAGATGAGATTGAAGAGATGTATTTTATTGTTATTCAGCGTCATGGAGTCTAAATAGGCTAGAGGCAATTTTTTCTGTATTTTTGTTTGTTTTTAAAATTCCTCCTGCAATTTAATCCACACAAATTTATATGCAGATGTCGTAGTGGAGTACAAGCTTAGTCTATTCTGCATTTCCACAGCTGCCCATAACCTCTTATCCCACCAACAAAGCAACATCTCACTGGATGACATTGAGACACTAGGGTGTTCTTATTGCTTTGTAAAAACAAGATCATCAAGTTTTGTAATATTCTTTTTATAGAACACTAACTGCAAAATGCTGAGATTCGCTCTGTAATAAGCTGGAGGACAATATACATCTGATTATCACCAACATAAGGTAATGCTTCTTCTCAGAACATTCTCTGCATCTAAGTAAGCCTGATTCGTACTCTGATTTGCTTTCAAGATTCATTTGAAAATTCCTTTCCTGAATTCTATTAATCCACACAAACTAAATGTCTCTGAACTAATAAGGCTTATCTGAATACAAAGACAGCAAGATACAGAAAAAACAAAGTACTTTTAGCTGACACTGCAAGATAAGTTTCTATGTGCTTTCTCTCTGTGAAGCAAATATGTTAAAACCTGCAGGGATAAAGCAAGTAAAATTAAAGCAGTATAAGAAACCACAACACTTATATCCCTATTAAAAAATGGCCTGTGCCCCACATAAGGTTGACTTTTGTTGTAATTTCATGAAAACCTAAAGTACTTTACAAGAAATTAGAATTCAAGAATACAGGAACTGGGTAGGACAAAGAAAACCAGAACAAATTCAAGAACAACATCTAAATGACAATCCCACCTTTCTGGCAGAAACCCTGTAACATAGAAATCTCCTGAAAAGTAAAAATACTATGTGATGAGACTTTGTAGATGAGGCCAAAATATGATTAAGCACATTAAACTAAGAAGCCAAAACCATGAAAATAGGTGTGACCTTTCTAGCATATTTTCCACTCATAAATGCTGTACAACTCATTTACTATAATGCAAATGCAGTTTAAGACCATTCTAGAAAATACCATACTATTTCTTGTAATCACTTTACCTGACAGTGCTATTTTCACATTTAAAAACCACACCGTAAAAAGAACCATACAGTAAAAGTACAGTAAAAGAATTCTCTTAGGAAAGAAAAATTCAAAGTAACTCCAGCAAAGACTCACTCCAGCAACATTAAGAGTAGTCTCTGCTGGAGTTTCCTCTTTAGTTATTTGGCTAAGTTGAAAGAACTGCATTCTACTTTAGATAACTATAACAATAAAACAGGAGTCCAACAGAAATCTTGATATTATACCTGGTCACTAGCTCAAAATTCTCATTCACCAGTCAAAACCTTTGTTTTCCAATGAGTCCTTTATCACTGTTTGGGTTTGGGGGGGTGTGTGTGCGTGTGTGTGTAAACCCACGAAAACATTGCATTAAAAAAAAAAAAAGTACAGTTCTTCCCACTATTCCCCAAGTATCAGGCAAGACACTTTAGAGAAATCTATTTAAAACTCTGTTCCCAGTTTTTCCAAGACCATTCTCTCCATCGTATGCTAAAAATCTTTAGCCAGATCCTGTAATGAGCCTACATATTAACATGTTTATACATTGCTATCATAACCTGAACCCATATGAGGCAGCCCTTTGAATTTCAATAGGTTCCCTTTGAAAAATATAAACTCTTGATTTGCTAGCTCTAAATCTCGAGACTGTTGATGAACGTGCCTGCAAGGAACTCTGTGTCCTGGAGTAGTAGGAAGCTCTTTCTCAAGTTGCCAGTTGCCAGGAAGCAAGCACTCAGCATCCAAACATTTTAGTTTTAACGAGGTTTGTTGACTTCAGTTAGCATGGGTTTCTTATCCTTATTATCACTATGCAAGGTCAGTAATCACCACACTTCCTTTTAACGTAACTGTGTACAGACTAGTAGTGAAACTTCAAACTGCAGTTAATCCTCATACTGAATTGAATGCAGTCAGGTAAAGCTGCTGTCCTGAAAGCTAGTCTGGTGCAACCTTGCACAACAAAGGCAAACATCATTTACATTCCTATTTAGAACATGCTAACTTAGCATGTTCCTGGAGCAAAAATACAGGCTGTCCAAGATGAGATAAGTGAGCTCTCGTAAGCTGAAGATCCCCGCTCTATGGCTGTCTAACTGCATGAAAAGTTGCCCTATGTGAAGAACCTCCTAGGAACATAACTCTTCTCTGCAAATTTTGTCACTGAACTGCTGCTCTTTTACTCACTACAACAGAAAGGAAGAGGAGCACAACCAAAATGAGAGTGCTCATCTCTGAATGCTTTAAGGCCTACTGATCAAGTGACTTACTGTAAGGTAAGGATGCGATTGCAAGTCCTTACGAGTCTCCCAGAGTTGCCCTTCCCACAATCTGGGTGAATGTCTGACATGGTGGAGAAAGGAGGACGGTCACTTCCTCCCTGCCTGAGTCTTAGGCCAGGCTAGACACAATCTGAGCATGCCAACATATTAAGCCTTGCTAGTGGGAATGGTTATGAATAGCTTGACACAGTCTAGCTGTAAAATAGGTGCTACGCAGTTCGACTTTGTTAGGACTTTACTGCGTGTGTGTGTATACTGCCGCAGAATTTACAGGTCAAAGGACTTTAAGAGCCTGCCAGATTAGGTGGCATTTTGTGAATGTCTTATAGCATCATTTAAGCACTCCAGTCTCACAGTGAAGCTAAACTACAAAGAATTTAGAACAAACAAAATAAGAGTTAAGATTTGAATCTTCTTGATTTCTGTCCCTGTTACTCTGCATAATCTTCTAAAAAAACCTCCTTTAAATGCCAGTTTCTCAAATAGCATCAAACAGCTTTATCAATAAGGAGAAACGCTTTTGGGCTATCTTTGTGGTAGATCACACTTGTTTGGATTCTTTTACTTCAATCTGAACACCTCATCTAAACGCACATGGAAAGGAAAAATTAAATGTTTCTACAGCTGAAAACTGCTGTGGCTTAGCTTGGTTTCAAATTCATTGCAAGGTTACTGAAGTCCAGATTGGTTATGCTGGTCTTTTAACAGAAAAAAAGGATAAATAAAAATAGGAACAATTTAACGAAGATCAATTCCATATTAATCAGTTACATGAATTGACACACAGTGTAAGGAAGTCACAGGGACCCTAAAAGGACATCTGAGGAGTTTCTCAGGACCTATCCATGACAGACCAATGATGATTTGTTCTCTCGTCATTTTCAGCGAAAAATTTCTGTACGAGAATAAATAAGGCCCAATGATATTTCGGTAGATGCATATTTCTATATGTCAGGTTGTGACAGTTGTCACCAAGAAGCTGTGAGTTGCATATGAAAGTGATGGCAACCACAGTAAGACTGACTCGTCAGCTGTCACCAGTTGCCCATGTATGCATTCTTGATATAATTAAGTTTTGTGTCACTGTTACAATTTTACTTTCTGGTAAATCCTTTATCATTGGGCTTACATTTGGACAAGTTTTCTTTAAGTTTGTTTGAACTCACACATTTAAGACTGCGACTTTGTTTTGTATTTTCACTCAGCAATAGTCTACCAGACAGTAAGTTACAATGTCACTGATACCTGGACTTCAATAAAGGAGTCTAAATCAACTCGACTGGAGAAAGACAGAGATAAATGAGGACTTCTCCACTTGAAAAAAAGAAATTTTTCATGGACCATTTTGTCCCTTTCACTTTCTTCAGTGAGTGGGGAAGATACATCTCTCTGATCAAATGACTGTCCCTTCTTTTTAAGTGTGTAAGATCATCTGTCATTTTCAAGAGACGTGATATTACTCAAATAAACCCAGTGAAAAGAAAGTAGATGCTGGCCATGAGAATGGAAAAGTAGAGTGAGGCAGGGACAAGTCAAAGGACAGATTCATAAATATTCCCTCTAAGCAAGGTTTAACTAGATTGGTCCCTAATACGAGAGGGGTAGTTCCACATCTCATAACTGTGGCTGGTGTGCTGGCTTGCAATGACAGCACTGATAAGAGAGCTACCTAGCTGCACGCTAGTCC